GAAAAAAACTGCATTCATTGTTCAAATATTTTTTGTTAAACAATGTCCCCAAGGAAGCGTCGCTACACATAGTAATTACCATAATCACAAATACACACTCCCAGAAAAATTATGGAAAGAAATCATAAAATAATGAATCAAATAAAAAATGAGAACTGTATTTTTTTTATTTAATTGAATAAATAAAAGTCGGGGAAGTTAGTTTAATAATGTGTAATAAGAAAATTTATCTCTATTTTTACCTCAGGTAGTGTAGTCGTCACAGGTAGCTCCGCCTATCACAACCCCGAGTCATTACTTAAGCCATAGTCATTGGCTGGGAGCGGTGTTCTCATGTTCAAATATTAGGGTTTAATATTTGAACATGAGTGCAGCTCCCAGCCAATGAGAAGTCACCTCGGGGTTATGTTATGTTATGTTGTTATTTTATGTTATGTTTGGTTAGGTTAGGTTAGGTTAGGGCAGCGTTAAAGTATTTATTTATTCATCAGGTGAAATAAACTGGGGGAATAGCTAATCACTTTCAGGTAATTCAAGTCTTGTTACGTTACAGGTAAAATCCAATTAAGCAAAGGTACCAGGTGACGCAACTTGATCTAACTTTCCTAACACAATTAAATATTCCTCCCCTGTATTTTTTTTACTCTCTCTCTTAACCCTTACCTTTGTCTTCATTCATAGTCAGTAGCCTTCACTTTTTTCATTAGCTTTCACTTTTTCATTTGCTTTCACTTTTTTCATTAGCTTTCACTTTTTTCATTAGCTTTTACTTTTTCATTTGCTTTCACTTTTTTCATTAGCTTTCACTTTTTCATTTGCTTTCACTTTTTTCATTAGCTTTCACTTTTTCATTAGCTTTTACTTTTTCACTAGCTTTCACTTTTTCATTAGCTTTCACTTTTTTCATTAGCTTTCAATTTTTTCTTTAGCTTTCTTTCCAAACAGTTCCCCGTCAGACCTGGAAGAGAAAAAAATAATGAGAGAGAGTGTGTGTATGTATGTATGTATGTATGTATGTATGTATGTATGTAAGTCATTAATTATGAGTCTATATCCAGGTGAGGTATTTACTCAGGCTCAGGTGTGAACTAGTCAGAGTTGTACAGGTGTGAGATGCTGTGTTGTGGCCGCTACCAGAGTTACATTACAGCTGTGTCAGGTGTTGATACAGTCACATTCTTGCCTAACTTAACCTAGCCTAACCTAACCTAACCCCCCCAGGTAGCGTTAGGGTAATTAACACTCAGGTGAAATAAGCTAGGTGAGTTTACCTTAAAATAACCCCTAATTTTTTTAACACTTTTTTAATGACTGTTAAAAAAAGATTATTCTGGTGTTAAACTTATTAACATATAAACACCTTTAGGTTAATTAACGAGTTTATTGTGATGTCTTACCTGGTATGTAAATATATAATCAGGTGTGTAGTGTTTTGTAGCTTTCTGGGTGAGGTCAATTTCTGTCGCTTTCTTTCCTGTTAACATTTAACTTTCACTAGTACTCTCTCTCTCTCTCTCTCTCTCTCTCTCTCTCTCTCTCTCTCTCTCTCTCTCTCTCAGCTGCCATCATGATTGTAGCTCTCAGTTCCCAATTCTGGCCTCAGTAGCCTTCAGAGCCGAGCTGGGAGAGAAAATGATAGAGTGGTGTTCTGTGGCGCTGAGAGTGTATGTATGTATGTATGTATGACTGTATGTATGTATGACTGTATGTATGTATGACTGTATGTATGTATGTATGACTGTATGTATGTATGTATGTAGGTATGACTATGTATGTATGTATGTATGTATGTAGGTTAGGTTAGGTTAGGTTAGGTTGGGTTAGGTTAGGTTAGATTAGGTTAGGTTAGGTTAGGTTAAGTCACACCCAAATCCACCCACACCTTCTTAACCTTGGCCCCCACCCCCCCTCCCACACGTCTGTCCCGGGCTAAGACACGAACCCAGGACACCTTAATCACCTCCAACCACCTGTGTGTGTATGTGTGTGTGTGTGTGTGTGTGTGTGTGTGTGTGTGTGTGTGTGTGTGACCTGCTGACCCCTTAAAGCATAGTAGGTGTATATCGATCTCCTTCCTCCTCCTCAGTAATCTCAGGTAATAACGGCGTATTTTATCACTGTCAGGGGAGGTTAGGTCAGGGAAGGTTAGGTTAGGTTAGGTCCGGGGAGGTTAGGTTAGGTTAGGTCAGGGGAGGTTAGGTTAGGTTAGGTCAGGAGGTTGGTTAGTTAGGTCAGGGAGGTTAGGTTGGGTCAGGAGGTTGGGTTGGGTTAGGTCGGGGAAGGTTAGTTAGGGACAAGGTTGGGTTGGGTTAGGTTGGGACGGGGGAGGTTAGGTTGGGTTGGGACAGGGAGGTTGGGTTAGGTTAGGTTGGGACAGGGGGTTAGATTAGGTTAGTTAGGACAGGGAGGTTAGGTTAGGTTAGGTCAGGGGAGGTTAGGTTAGGTTAGGTTATGTGAGAAGTGTAGAGGTAAAATAAATGGAGATACGTGCTGAAAATGTCTTTGTTTTGGTTAGGTTAGGTTAGGTTAGGTTATGTGAGAAGTGTAGAGGTAAAATAAAATGGAGATACGTGCTGAAAATGTCTTTGTTTTGGTAGGTGGTATATTTTTATAAGTTGTTTGTTGTTTGTGTTTGTTTTTTGTTTTTTTGTTGTTTCGGTCTATTTTTGGTATTTTTGTTTATGTTCTTTTTGTGTGTATGTTTTTGTTTATTGTAAGTATGTCTTCACCCACCCACACACACAAAAACACACACACACACACACACACACACCATACAAACATTCTCCCCCACACACACACACACACACACACACACACACACACACACACACACCATACAAACATTCTCCACACACACACACACACCATACAAACATTCTCCCACATACACACACACACACACACACACACACACACACCATACAAACATTCTCCCCCACACACACACACACACGTACAGCATTTGTGAAGGTAATATATACATTCACATTAGTTAAATTTAACGACTAAAGTCACTTCATCAGAGTACAACACGAGCCACCGCCTGTAATTTCTCCGTAATTAACGTAATGGTAATGCAATTCTGCCCCGCGACCTGCTAGGCTTCTTTCTCACCTGTGCGTAATTACTGCTTCTATCAGCCTTTGTTTGTGTGGAGGTGTTTGTGTGTTTGTTTGGGAGGGCGGGTTGTGTGTGTGTGTGTGAGTGTGTGTGTGTGTGTGTGTGTGTGTGTGTGTGTGTGTGTGTGTGTGTGTACCTATCTATATAACCTTCCATCAATCTCTTAAATTCATCTCAGTGCCATGTCTTAATCTCTCCATCTCTTCACCTCACCTGACTTTCTCAATCTCTCAGCATCTCACCTCATCTCACCTGTGGTAGAGACACGCCATCAGGGACAGGTGAGGACCCTCCTTTGTCTCTACCATCAGACTTGGGGATGATGATGTTGACAGGTAGGAAGACACACCTGGGAATTAATTAACAACATTAAGGTGTGAGAGTACAATAGGTATAGGTGTGTGTGTGTGTGTGTGTGTGTGTGTGTGTGTGTGTGTGTGTGTGTGTGTGTGTGTGTGTGTGTGTGTGTGTAAACTGTAGTAAAGAGTTGAAATATATTGTTACGTCAAATTACCACCTTAGCAACCGATCTGTTTGTCTGAGCTCTCACGGTTGCTAGGGATAAAAAAGCAGAAAACGAAGGACATACTCGATAGGATAAATGAATTACAAAAAAAAGATACAAAAGCACCATTAACATTTTTTTGGTAATTTGCAAACTTGATCCACAAAAGAGGTGAAGGTTTGAGGCGGTGTAGTGAGGAGGGATGGCTACAGCCCCTCGCTTACCAATCAACAGGAAATGCAATTATTCACTAAATGATCTTATGAAGTACTAATTTACGCAGCCATTCACAACAGCCAGACTGAAAACGCCTGAAATTATATTATGTTTGGGTACACACGATGGACCAGTAATGACCGAGAGAGAGAGAGAGAGAGAGAGAGAGAGAGAGAGAGACTTACTATGGTAGGTAAGTGGGTGGGGCCTTGGGCGTACTGGTGGTACCGGTGGGAGGACTGAGGGGCAGTATTCCCAGGCGTTACTTCCCGGTAGTTGCGCGAGAGCTGTGGCGTGGCTGCACCTGGGGTCCCCTCCCGGTATTTATGTGACAGCTGGGGGGTCGGAGGTCCTGGGGTCCCCTCCCGGTACTGGTGAGACAGCTGGGGTGCTGGTATTCCTGGGGACACCTCCCGGTAATGGCGTGACAGCTGTGGGGTGGTGGCTCCTGGTGTTCCCTCCCGGTAATGGGGAGCAGATCTCTCACACCCCCGGCACTGCTGGAACACCTGGGGAGGCGTGGCTCCTCCTGGGGGCGTCTCCCGGTATTGAGCTGAGAACTGGGGCGCGGCTCTTCCTGGGGGAGTGCCTCTCTCACCGCTCCGGTACTGGGGTGAGGGCTGGGGAGTGGGTCTTGCTGGGGGCGGCTCCCTCCTGCACCCCAGGCAGGTCTCCCTCACTGGGATGACGTCAGGGTTGGCATCACTCTCCACCTCTACCTGCTGAGAGAACACCTGAGTCAGACACGTATTGTATTGCACCTTCATACTTCTTTATCTTATGTGACTAAAAAAATATAGGATTCTAGTACAGTTTGTATTATAGTCGACGATTTTTTGTTCATCTTATCCTTGCTCTTCCCTCCCTTCCCTCTTATCACTCCTCCCTCTTCCCTTCCTTCCCTCTTATCACTCCTCCCTCTTCCCTTCCTTCCCTCTTATCACTCCTCCCTCTTCCCTTCCTTCCCTCTTATCACTCCTCCCTCTCACCCCCACACCTACCGGTAACTCCTTCAGGCAGGTAGTGTGATGACCCCTCGTCAACACAGGTGAATCCCCGGGTCGACTACACCTGGGGGAGGAACTCTGCGAAGACCTTCTCTCAACCACAACACCTTCAGGAGGAGAACCTGCACGAGTTATTGAACGTTCCTGAGGTGTCCTTCTACATCTCCTACGCCTCCTGAAGGTGAAGAAGAACAGCAGCAGGAGGAGAATCACCAGCAAGACGAACCCGGAACCTACGCCAAGAGCAGTCATAAGAAGGGAAGTAGACACAGGGGTCGAGGAGAAGATGGATTCATTGACGCCATTAGGTGCTTCCACGTCACTCTCCGGGTCTTCACTTCCAGGCAGTGTCTTCCCCCCGTCTCGAACCTCCGCCTCCAAGGGTCCAACTGTTGACAGGATGAGATAATATATAAGAATTTGGTCTCTGGTCTCTTGGTCTCTTGGTCTCTGGTCTCTTGGTCTCTGGTCTCTTGGTCTCTAGTCTCTGGTCTCTGGTCTCTCTGTCTCTGGTCTCTGATCTCTTGGTCTCTGGTCATTGGTCTCAACAGAGGAGGTGGGGAGGCCATAAGTCGTCAAGCAGGTGTTTAATGTAAAAATAATGGCAAGGTGAGTGTGTGAGAGGGAGGGAGGGCTAAGTGAGACGGACGGGGGGCTTATGAGAGGGAGGGAGGGCTAAGTGAGACGGACGGGGGGCTTATAAGAACATAAGAAAATAAGGAGTCTGCAATAGGCCGGTTGGCCTGTGCATGGCAGCTCCTGTCGAGAGTTACTACCACTCTCTATCATCCATGAATCTATCCAGCCTCCTTTTGAAACTTTCCAGAGTTCCCGCACTTTCTACAAAGTTGCTAAGCTTGTTCCACTCGTCCACCACCCTATTTGTGAACCAGTTCCTTCCTATCTCCCTCCTAAACCTAAACTTGTCCAACTTGAATCCGTTGCTCCGAGTCCTATCCTGCTCGGATATTATAAGAACTTTATCTATATCCCCTTTATTGATTCCTTTCACCCACTTAAATACTTCTATCATATCTCCCCGCACTCTTCGTCTTTCTAGGGATGCAAGTTAAGTTTCTTTAACCTATCCTAATATGGAAGGTTTCTAAGTCCCGGAATCATTTTTGTCATTCTTCGCTGCACCGACTCTAGTGAATTTATATCCATTCTATAATAGGGGCACCAGAACTGAACCGCATAATCGAGGTGTGGTCTGACTAGCGCAAGATATAGATGCAATAAGACCTCTGCACTCTTGTTACTTACACTTCTAGATATAAAACCCAATACTCTGTTTGCCTTATTTCGAACATTAACGCACTGTTTTCTAGGCCGTAGGTCCGGGCTTACAAGTACCCCTAGGTCTCTCACAAGTCGACTTCTCTAGGTTGATGTTGTTAAGGCTGTATACATTATAAGTATTTGTTCTTCCAAAGGGAGGGAGGGCTAAGTGAGACGGAGGGGGCTTATGAGAGGGAGGGAGGGCTTGTGAGAAGGAGGGAGGGTTTGTGAGAGGGAGAGGGAGCTTATGAGAGAGAGGGAGGGCTTGTGAGAGGGAGAGAGGGCTTGTGATAGGTAAAGAAAGCAAGGTAAACAATGTTAGTAAAATAACACGTACAAGACAACTAAACATTTCATAATTTTTTAAGTAATCGGCCTGAATGGACTCTAATTAATGTTTTTATTTTATTCTAATGATCCTTTGGTGGTTTTTAATATATTTGTATAGGTTATATTTGATAGTATTACTTAAAAAGTTTATTATTTCTCCAGTCCCACTATAGACGTCACAACTTTCGAAAGTTGTTCTTTTGTTTACGTGTATATTTATTTATTCTGAGACTTTAGTTTATAAATATTTGCGGAATTAAATTATATTGTTAATCCATATATTTTTTATAATTATATAAGCATATACGAGTTACTTTAAATAAACATTTTTTTTTTCTTCAAGGTGTTGGTGTTCCGCTGGTCCGCCCCATCACACTAGCCACAACAATTCGAGTGATCTATCCAGTGTTCGCTGTGACAAACAATTTCTCGTAAATTACCTGCATTGTGTAACTTTTTCAACGTTATAATATACAAGAAGAATATTTCTAGACACAACTGGACAACATTGGTGTGATGTAAAGACTCTGAAAAAATGTAAATGGCTGAGTTAAATTACCAGCCGCCAGTGTCAACATTCCTCCAGACGTCCTCAGGTGAGTACACAAACATTTAAACTGCACTTTATTTTATACTAGATAAGTCTCATTAAAGTAAACCCATCAGGTATTTAAATAGATGTATTAACCGTGGTAATTAGGTATTTTATTATGGTTAAATCAATCTCAGTTAATAGGCCAACTGGTTATTATATTGACAATTATCGCCCGTGTTAATAATAATCATTCGCCTTAATTATCAGTATAAAAATAGTTAATCCAAACTAAATGGACTTTATAAACCATTACTAAAGAAGATATTGATAGGTGTTTTACGAAGCTATCATTATAGGTAACGAGTGGCATTAAACGGTAATATTTAATGTTTTATATTATATAACTTAATACTAAAAAATACAATACCTTCAGAACATAAATTACAATAAATTTTTCTTATAAATACTAAGGAAAAACTGATTATAAACAAATTAATTAATAAATAAATGAATGGTTCCGTTTACCAAGGCGGCGGTTATGAAACTGTACAGTAATGTATTAATATATTTAGTAATTATATAACATAAATATGGTCACTATGACTTTTATTTTAATTTACATTTTTTATTAATTACAGTACTCATTTCACTTCTACTCAAGGCATAGTTATTCACTTTGACGTCACAGTGGCGTTACCATGCGACTATAATAGTTACCAGGTATCGCTATTGGGTTTAATATACTATCATACTATTCTTAAGGAGTTATTCTTCCTTATTGGTTATTGTCGTTTGTCTACAATGTCTGTCTGTTTGTCTGTCTGTCTGTCTGCCTGTCTGTCTGTCTGTCTGTCTGTCTGTCTGTCTGTCTGTCTGCCTGCCTGTCTGTCTGTCTTTGAGTTTCTTTAGCGCGGATGATTAGTTTGTCTGGAATATCGGCTACATTATTATTATTATTATTATTATTATTATTATTATTATTATTATTATTATTATTATTATTATATTATTATTATTATTATTATTATTATTATTATTATTATTATTATTATTATTATAATTATACTACTACTACACATATCATTTACACTGATAACTACCACCACTAATTAGCTGCAGTGTTACCAACGACCACTAACCATGTAGTTGGTAGACAGAGCCGTTGGTGCCGATGCTGGTAACTGAGAGGAAAGTGTCGCTACTTAACCCCCGGTCGTTCACTGCGCTTATAACCAGTTGGTACTTCCCTGCCTCCTCCAGTCCCTCCACCTGTGAGAGAAAGTGTCGTATTGTTAGTTTCATTTGGTACTTTCCTCCACCTGACACTTCCCCACTACCTAGTTGGGTACTTTCTCCCGTCCTGTTGTGATATATACCTGTTCTATAACTCACAAGAACATTTAGGTAACTCATGAGACTATTAGGGGTAGAAACTCACAAGAACAGTTTAGTAACTCACAAGAACAGTCTAGTAACTCACAAGAACAGTCTAGTAACTCACAAGAACAGTCTAGTAACTCACAAGAACAGTTCGGTAACTCACAAGAACAGTCTAGTAACTCACAAGAGCACTAGTAACTCACACGAACAATCTAGTAACTCACAAGAACACCAGTAACTCACAAGAACACCCTGGTAACTCAACGTGTGCTCTAGTTACTCACAGAGAAGTTCGGGATGGTAGAAGAGGTGACGTTGAGGTGGTGTTGGTGTTGACGTTCCTGAAGACTCGCCTGAAGGAGGAACACTTGGCTGAGTCCTCCGCTCGTACCTGCCACACACCTTACCTGACGGAGGTACGGGTCCCGCCTCCTACCGTGCAGTTACCTGGGGGTCTGGCTTACCTGGGGAAGGAGGGAGACAAGGAACCACCTATAATTACCTGGGGAAGGGGGAGACAAGGAACTACCTGTAATTACCTGGGGGTTCTGATTTACCTGTAGGAGAGAGGAACCATCTGGAGTTTTACCTGGGGAAAGGAGAGTGGAACAGTCTGTAACTAGCTGGGTGGGGTAGGGAGAAGAGCTACCTGGGAGAGAGAGAGGAACACACCTGTAATTATCTAGGAAAGGGAGATGAGCCACCTACAGTTACCTGGGGGAGGGAGAGAGGAACACACCTGTAATTATCTAGGAGGGAGGAGATGAGACACCTACAGTTACCGGGGGTAGGGAGAGAGGAACACACCTGTAATTATCTAGGAGAGGGAGATGAGTCACCTACAGTTACCTGGCGGAGGGAGAGAGGAACACACCTGTAATTATCTAGGAGGGAGGAGATGAGACACCTACAGTTACCTGGGTGGATCGAGTTTACCTGAATAGAAGAGGAAGGCTATAGGATTTATCGAGATAAATTGTAGCAAGGGGAGGCAACATTTTTATCTCTAGGGATAAGAGTTACAGCGGGAGAGGATTGCCCTTGGGGGTGTCTGATCAACCTAGGGAAGGGAGAGCAAGAGAAGGGAGAGCGAGAGAAGGGAGAGAGAAGTTAGATGGTGGTGATCATTGAGGTAGAGATGAATTGGAGGGGAGGGGAGATAAATTTTTGGTAAGGGAGAGTTAGATTTAGCGGGGGGTGTGAGGTTCTCCTGACACAGGGCATAAGAGAGAGGTTAGTGGGCCGATAGAATCATTGTATAAAGTAAGTTCCTGTCAATACTTCATTCCCGGTGTTAGGGCGGAGCTAACTGTTCTCCCTCCATGTTTACTTTACAATATTATCACTAGTTTAATTTGTTTTTTGTTTTTAACTCGGGAAACCTTGTATAGATGTAAGGCGTGAATTTCTCCTGTGATATTCGGCGTGGTTTTGATGCTGAATCACCGTCCACGGAAACATTAAAAGGACGTTAAAAGAATCATTGAATCATGGTATCTATAGAATCGTTATATCATCATTTACAGAATCATTCAATACCAGTCTACTTAATCCCTGAATAACCGTCCATAGAATCAGTGAGTCACTCTCCGTTGACTACAGAATCACTGAATCACCGCTCATAGAGTTACTTAATATATTTCTGACGACATAAAATATTCACTGTCAATCTTGTGGTATATCCGAGTCGAGGATATAGTGTGTATCCCTGGAGTCGTCGAGAGAGGCTCAAAACACCTGACTGTAATCTGTTTCATCTCGTAATTAAAACTAGTATAGTCCCCTCCCCACCTGCTGTCGTCTCACCTGCGGGCAAGATGTGGAAGACGCAGGGGTCCTTCTGTGTACCAATGGGGTTAGTGGCAGAGCAGAGGAGGGTACCGTAGTCCAGGGAGGTCATGGGTGTGTAGGTGATGATGCTCTGGCTCCCCGTGGACGTGTAGCGCCCCTTTGGTACGTCTATGGTGTCCGCCGTGTTGTTAAACGTCCACTGGAAGGATTTCAGGACGGGGTTGGCCTCCACGGTGCAGGTGACCTCGGCATCCTCGTAGCGTCCCACGGCGAAGGTGCTCACCTGCCCAGACGAGCACACGGGGGAGTCTGGTGGTAAACAAACAAACAAGCAGGTGGGGATGGTTTTGATTGTTGTTGTTGTTGTTGTTTGGACTCTCTCTCTCTCTCTCTCTCTCTCTCTCTCTCTCTCTCTCTCTCTCTCTCTAAGTGGGTGTTGTTTGAAGTAGTGTATTCTGATGAAATTCTCCCCGTCTCTTCCTACCTTTCTGTGTATTCAATTCTGTTAGACCTCTGATATAACACACACACACACACACACACACACACACACACACACACACACACACACGGTTACTCACACTTTACGTCAAGGGTGAGGACGTTGGAGGTGGCGTCCCCTACGATATTGTGAGCACGGCATGAGTACCTCCCTGCCTGCGACCTGGCCACCTTCTGTAGTACCAAGCTCTGGTTACTGATGATCACTCCCCCAGACACGTTGTGGACCAGTACCTCGTCCTGTCACATGGGAGAACAGGTATTACATGGGTTAGGTTAGGTTAGGTTAGGTTTGTCTTATAGTAAACCAATAACAACGGTATAACACGGAAGAACAACTGTTATACATTTAAACTACACCTGTAATTAGGATAATGAATAACAGGTGTATTTGTTACCGTATATGACTTACAACACCTGAAATTTACACGGGCGAGAATAGGTGTCAGGTGTCATTTATATATAACACTGGAACAACAAGTGAAATATACCTGTGTCAGCCACCGTATACCTGTCGCACTTTAGACACACCTATTGTCTGTCTCCTTCCCCTCGTACAGGTAACACAGGTAACACAACTTTCCTTTTTCTGTTTTGTCTTAAATCATATCTTATAAGGGGGGGGGGTTACTGTCGTGTGTGTAGACGGATAGACAGGTATACCTATCATAGAGAAATAACAGATAGACAGAGAGACAGAAAGTAAAGAGAGAGACAGGTGTAGTGTATAATTAATTTCAGGTATGCTTAGATACCCATCACAGACAGACAGACAGACAAACACAGACAGATATTCTCACCCATGACAGACAGACAAACACAGACAGATATTCTCACCCATGACAGACAGACAAACACAGACAGATATTCTCACCCATGACAGACAGACAAACACAGACAGATATTCTCACCCATGACAGACAGACAAACACAGACAGATATTCTCACCCATGACAGACAGACAAACACAGACAGATATTCTCACCCATGATATTCTCACCCATGACAGACAGACAAACACAGACAGATATTCTCACCACGACACACAGACAGATATTCTCACCCATGACAGACAGACTAACACAGACAGATATTCTCACCCGACAGACAGACAGATATTCTCAAAGCACAGACAGACATATTCTCACCCAAGACAGATAACACAGACAGATATTCTCACCCCATGACAGTGACAGACACAAACACAGACAGATATTCTCACCCATGACAGACAGACAAACACAGACAGATATTCTCACCCATACACAGACAGATATTCTCACCCATGACAGACAGACAAACACAGACAGATATTCTCACCCATGACAGACAGACAAACACAGACAGATATTCTCACCCATGACAGACAGACAAACACAGACAGATATTCTCACCCATGACAGACAGACAGACAGAGTAGGTCACACGTAGCGCTGCGAGACAGACTACCGTTGTCACCCTCTCGCTCCAATACACAGGTAAACATCACCACTAATTACTGTAATTATATTTTTATCTCTCACAATGCAAATTACAATTACAAGGCAGGAAGTCCGGTCTTTGTTATGACGGGTCACTGACGTAATCCCTCGGGGAGGTTAAATCCTGCCTGCCACACGAATCCTAACTGAGGAAAATCCCACCAGACAAAAAAAAATCCCACTCTCTATAACCTCTCACCCATGACAGACACACAACACTCACACACACACACACACACACACACACACACACACACACGTTGGATTGCCAGAAGATTCGGGAGTGTCATTTTCTCTCTCTATGTATGTATGTATGGTATGTCTGGTATGTATATATGTATGTATGTATGTATGTATGTATGTATGTATGTATGTAACTCACGTTGTGGCGCCAGGAGACACGGGTGGCCCTGGGGTTGGCATGTATAGTACACTCGAAGTAAACATCGTCTCCTTCCTTGATGTTGGCCGAGTCTAGTGACGCCCCGTAACTGCAAGACGCTGTTGGCTCATCTGGGGGGAAGGGGGGATTATAATTTATCCATTTATTTGTCTATATATTTATTTTACGTTCATTAATACTGTATCCAATTGTATTAGTTTTTATTCTTAATTATTTATATCTATGTTTTTACTGATATGAAATAAAGTTATAATGAAATATATCCACGAAAATAATGTTTAAAATATATGGATAGTTTTAATTTGGATCATTTGTAGAGTTTCATAGTTAATTTTTTTTTTTTTATTTATTTGTATTTTTTTTATTTTTTTATTTATTTACTTTATTTTGTATTTGTTTTATGTTTCTTTTTTAGGGAGTTTATTCAAAGTTCCTTCAATGGTGATTTGCATACCACCCTTAGCCTCTGTTTACTCACCTTCTCTCTCCCTCCCTTCCTTCCCTCTCCCTCCCTCCCTCTCTTCCTTCCCACTCCCTGTCTTCCCTCTCCCTCCCTTCCCTCTCCCTCCTTTCCCTCTTCCTCCCTTCCCTTCATTCCCCCTCCCTCAAAAACATGCCTTGAGTGTGCCGTAAACATATCAGAGAGGGAGGGAGGGAGGGTTAGATAGATAGATAGATAGATAGATAGATAGATAGATAGATAGATAGAGATAAATAAGTAGATAGATAAGTAGCCAGAGAGAGAGAGAGACTTAAGGAGAGATAAACGAGGAGACACAAGAGATACGGATGGGCAAGAGATAGTCTCCCAAGGTGAGATATTGCACACTCTGATGCCTCGGTAATTTACACTTAACACCATTAAACGACCCGATAATTCTCTCTCTCTCTCTCTCTCTCTCTCTCTCTCTCTCTCTCTCTCTCACACACACACACACACACACACACACACACATAAACACACACATTCCCGTGTATGTATGTATGTATGTATGTATGTATGTATGTATGTATGTAAATGAATTGAATATATTTAAAGCTATATATTTCAACGTATAGTTTTTCTGTTATAAAATTTCCCTGCTAACTTTAGTAATAAAATCAGCCCGTGACCAGTTAACCATTACACACATACAGGCAGACAGGAATAAAACCAAAGATAACTAGTGAACTGTGCACCATTAGGAATATATTTTGAACCTCGCCTTACAAAATATATTGGAATATTATTAATAGCTACAAGGCGATGGTTGGGTGGTTAGGTTAGGTTAGGTTAGGTTGAGTGGTTATCGTGTAGGGTGTTGTTATGGTTATTGAGGTCCGGGTTATGTTATAGTGTGGTGTTCGTGTTAGATCAAGGTTATGTTTATTTGTTTACGATATATAAGAGTAAACTTGTAAACGAGTGTGTATAGACAGACAGGCAGGGAGGTAAACAGACACACACACACACACACACACACACACACACACACACACACACATCAATTCACCACCCCTATGTACCCCTTATCTGTCACCCATCCATCCACCCAAACATCCCCCTCCTTCCCATCTCCCCCTCCCCTCTCTCCCCCTCTCCTTCCACCATGTACCCCATCCCACCCTCATCCATCCACCACCATGTACCCCATCCCACCCTCATCCATCCACCACCATGTACCCCATCCCACCCTCATCCATCTACCACCATGTACCCCATCACACACCCATCAATCCACCCCCTCCTCCTCCAGCCGACTATAACCTGACGGCGCCACAGAAGGAGGAGGAGAAAGGTCGCATGTAATTTAACGTCTGTGTATATCTCTTCACCCAGGGCCCAAGTTCTCTCTTGAAATGAGTACAGCTTGATTAAATACGTGTGTGTGTGTGTGTGTGTGTGTGTGTGTGTGTGTGTGTGTGTTCTGGAATACCTTTCTACATAGATGGGTGATAAATAACTACATAATACAGCACATAAATAATACATAAATAAACTACACATAGACTACATATTATTATAGTACAGGAGGTGACAACACTACATAATTATTGGCTATAAGACAATACTACATAGATATAGACGCTACAGTCCGCGGTACGATGCATAGACGCTGATTACATAACAGTACTCTATGGTACACATGGGATGAGACCTACAGTAGACGGTAAGAGATGAGACCTACAGTAGACGGTAAGAGATGATACCTACAGTAGACGGTAAGAGGCCAGGTGTCCTCTAGGGTGGACGGCGGGGCGTGGGACTCAGCGATACAGCGGAGATACGAACCATGGTCCTCAGGCTTCGGGGTGAACGACACTCTGCTGGTGGTCACGTTCTTGTCCTTTGAGGTCTGCTGGGGGGTGAGAGGTGAGGAGGGGAGGGATGGAGAGGGAGAGAGGGGGGAGGGGTGTTAGTGGGTGAGAGGGGAGGGAGAAAGAGAAGAGACAGGAAGACGGAGATGGTGAATGAATGAGAGTTAGTGAGGAGAGGAGAGGAGAGGGAGAAGGAGGGAGAGAGAATGAATATCAGTGGGGAGAGGGGAGGAGAGAAAGGGGTGAGAATTGGGTTAAAATGGTGATATTAATGGGTAAAAATAGGTGGTGGTGGTGGTGAAGTTCACGAAGTAGGGTGGGGATTAAGGAAGGTGGAGGAGGGTGTTTGAGGGAGGGAGGGAGGGAGATAGGGAGGGAGGGAGGAGGGGGAGGAAGGGAAGGAGCGTATTAGTGTGAGGATGAGAATTATTGAATTAACTAACACACTTTACAGAACCAAATTCAATAACATGGTTGACAGTTATTTTGGAAGGATCCTATTTTGACGAACAGGCTCCTCCCCCCCCCCTTCCCCTTCTTCTCCCATTCCTCCCCTCCCTCCCCTCCCTCCTCCCCATCCTCCCTCCCCTTCCCCCCATCCCCTCCCCTCCTCCCTCCTTCCTCCTTCCCCTCCTTTCCCTCCTCCCCCATCCCCTACTCCACCCTCCCCTTTCCCTTTCCCCCCCCCCTGACAGAGATGTACAGACAAATGAAACAGAATACTAGAGATCAGTAGACACAAAGCAGGAGACTAGAGAGAGGAGAGGAGAGAGAGTTGAGAGAGAGAGAGAGAGAGAGAGAGAGAGAGAGAGTTGTCTGACTAGAAGTTAATGCCCGTCGATCAGGGGCTAAAAGCAGTGATTATTCAATTGAACGGCAGCCAAAGTTGGTTTTTGTGAAGTTGACAGCGAGGAGAGGATAGGGGAGGGTGGAGAGGAGGGCGAGAGGGAGGGGAGGGGGGTGGAGAGGGGAGGGCGAGGGGAGGAGGGGAGGTGGAGGGCGAGGATGGAGGGCGAGGAGGGAGGAGGCGGAGGAGGGAGGGGGTGAGGGCGAGGGAGGGGAGGGGAGGGAGGGGCGAGGGGAGGGGGGGGAGGAGGGGGGTGGAGAGGAGGGCAAGAGGAGGAGGGCGGAGGGAGGAGGAGGGAGAGGGAAGGCGAGGGAGAGGAGGGGAGGGGGAGGGGAGGAGAGGGAGGAGGGCGAGGAGAGGAGAGGCGAGGGGAGGAGGGGAGAGGAGGAGGGCGAGTTTAGAGGGTGAACTGATGCACGCACTTCAAAGGGGGGAAATAATCATGGTAGTGAAAGTAATACCCCGACTACTACTACTACTACTATTTCAGTGTGGCCTCCTACCTCCCCCATTAGTCACTACTACTACTACTACTACAAATAATAATAATAATAATAATAATAATAATAATAATAATAATAATAATAAATTAAAATTCCTCAGCTAAAATACCAATTAAACTACAAAATTCTTCACCAAATGTATAAGAAAAAAAACCCCACATTTTTTATCTCACTCGAGTATAAAAGTAAACCTTTGTTATTCGTATTTTTCAACTGTAATAGAGAGTTTGTTTAAAACTCCATTCCAGTAATTTGTGTTTTGTAAAGTCTTCTCTGATGAACCTGTCAGTACTAACTATCTTACAGGGATTGTTGGTTCATTCCATAGTGTGTGTGTGTGTGTGTGTGTGTGTGTGTGTGTGTGTGTGTGTGTGTGTGTGTGTGTGTGTGTGTGTGTGTGTGTGTGTGTGTGTGGAGTCATGTATGTGTCTGTGTCCGTCTGTGTGTGTGTCCATGCATGAATGTCCGTGTATGTGTGTGTGTGTGTGTGTGTGTGTGTGTGTGTGTGTGTGTCCGTCTGTGTGTGTGTCCATGCATGAGTGTCCGTGTATGTGTGTGTGTGTCCATGTATGTGTGTGTGTGTGTCCTTGTATGTGTCTGTGTCCGTCTGTGTGTGTCCATGCATGAATGTCCGTGTATGTGTGTGTGTGTGTGTGTGTGTGTGTGTGTGTGTGTGTCCGTCTGTGTGTGTGTCCATGCATGGTGTCCCGATAACATGTGTGTGTGTGTGTGTATGTATATGTGAGTCCATGTATGTGTCTGTGTCCGTCTGTGTGTGTGTCCATGCATGCATGTCCGTGTATGTGTGTGTGTGTGTGTGTGTGTGAGTGTTATCGTAGCAGAGTCAGTATAAATACCTTTAGATCCCTCGACCAATGGGAGGGTTTAAGCACTGGCCATTCCCGGCGATCTTCTTAATTGTCATATAACCGGGTCCTGTAGTTCTCTTCCTTTCTCCTACTTCCTTGCTTCACCTACAGCAACTCTCCTTCCTTGCTTCACCTACAGCAACTCTCCTTCCTTGCTTCACCTACAGCAACTCTCCTTCCTTGCTTCACCTACAGTATCTCTCCTTCCTTGTTTCACCTACAGTATCTCTCCTTCCTTGCTTCACCTACAGTAACTCTCCTTCCTTGCTTCACCTACAGTAACTCTCCTTCCTTCCTTCACCTACAGTATCTCCTCCTTCCTTCCTTCACCCTACAGTATCTCTCCTTCCTTGCTTCACCTACAGTATCTCTCCTTCCTTGCTTCACCTACAGTATCTCTCCTTCCTTGCTTCACCTACAGTATCTCTCCTTCCTTCCTTCACCTACAGTATCTCTCCTTCCTTGCATCACCTACAGTAACTCTCCTTCCTTGCATCACCTACAGTAACTCTCCTTCCTTCCTTCACCTACAGTAACTCTCCTTCCTTGCTTCACCTACAGTATCTCTCCTTCCTTCCTTCACCTACAGTAACTCTCCTTCCTTGCTTCACCTACAGTATCTCTCCTTCCTTGCTTCACCTACAGTATCTCTCCTTCCTTCCTTCACCTACAGTAACTCTCCTTCCTTGCATCACCTACAGTATCTCTCCTTCCTTGCTTCACCTACAGTATCTCTCCTTCCTTGCTTCACCTACAGTAACTCTCCTTCCTTGCTTCACCTACAGTATCTCTCCTTCCTTGCTTCACCTACAGTAACTCTCCTTCCTTCCTTCCTTCACCTATAACACAATTTACCATTATCGTCTTTTGGTTTAATAAATTTGTATATAAACCAGGATAGCTGAGTCACCCCCCGTGTTCAACTGTTCAATGATTTCACTTATAATAAAGGCTTTCTGTTAGTGTAGTGCCGTAATGAAGGTTTAATCCAGTCGCTACCCCTTGTTCTTCATGCACCTAGAACAGGGAGGGGAGGGTCTGCCTATTTTCTTTGTTGCTGTTGTTCTCAAGTGTTCTTCACCACTTCCACTATCACCACCATAGCCATCGTCACCACCACCACCACCACCACCTACCCACCACCACCACACGTGCCCTGGGGCTGGGTCTGTAAATGAGTGAGCATCATTGTGAACGCCCCCACCTCCCCCCCTCCCAAAGTTCTGACAAGGGAGAGTGGTCCAATCTGTTTCTTGGAGGAGCCGTCCAACCGTGAAGCTCTCTCTCTCTCTCTCTCTCTCTCTCTCTCTCTCTAATACCTGGCCCCGAAAATGTACACTCAGATTTTTTTTACCCTGTATCTCCAGGTAATGGCAGAGAATTGTATACCTGAAAGCTGGAATAATTTGTTCTGGGGGGGGGGGGCGTTTAGTGGTGGCAGTGGCCTAAGGAGACAGGTTTTAATTGTATTTCCTGGTTGCTATTCTTCCCTCAACTGAAGTGGTGTGTATAATACTGTAAATGCTTGTACCTGTGTATGTATGTATGTATGTATGTATGTATGTATGTATGTATGTATGTATGGATGGAAGTATAAATATGTATGTATATACAGTATGTCGGCGACCTGTGGTGTAATGGTCAGCATGCTCGCATCGCAAGCAAGATGACCCGGGTTCGATCCCCGTGCAGGGTAAATCTATGGGCAAGTTTCTTTACGCCATTTGCCTCTGTCTACCCAGCAGTAATTGGGGACCTGGATGTTAATCGATTTGTGGATCGTGTTCCGGGGTAATGGCTAGCCAGTGCAGTTGGCGAGTTGTCCGGTCTTTTCGGACTATTCCTTAACACTGGGTCCTGCAACTCGTTAACTCAGGGTGTGGTTGTTGTGTTGGCGACAGCTTCTACGCCTTAAACAAATTCACGCCTAGGTGGCCCTTGGGCCGGCCATCCATGTTACACGAGGGACAACCATTATTATTATTTTATGTATGTATGTATGTATGCATGTATGTATGTATATATGTATGTATGCATGTATGTATGTAAAGACCAGACTAACATTACGAAATCTATTCACATGATTGTATTTATTTTTATAATTTCTTGTTGAGTATTGTGTCTTTTTTACCCTGATATAATTTAACCATGGATGTTATTGTTGGATATATTTTATAATATATTTTTTTGTTTATTTCGATTTTGTTTTGTTTCTTCTCTCGTCTTCGTCCCCTGAGATGTGACACTCGGCTCCTGATCCCTCTACGTGTCTCTCTTCCTTCACTCCAGCAACACCTCGCTAATCTTCTCCTCATAGCTACACCTCTACCCCCTATTCCTCTCCCTTCTAGCCCCCTATATCAACACCTTGTCTCCCCCCTGCTGCCATCACCTAGCCCCCCTATCAACACCTTGTCTCCCCCCTGCTGCCATCACCTAGCCCCCCTATCAACACCTTGTCTCCCCCCTGCTGCCATCACCTAGCCCCCCTGTCAACACCTCGTCTCCTCCCTGCTGCCATCACCTAGCCAGACTATTCTCCCCAGCAATACTTAGCTCCGTTTCCCTAGCAACACCGTATACCTCTCCCTAGCAACACCTAGCTAATCTTCCCAGGAGTACCTCACTATAGTACACCCCAGCAACACCTTACACCCCCTCCAACACCTCACCCTTCCCTCCAACACCTCACCCCCCTCCAACACCACCCTTTTGCTCCACCTCCAACACCTCACCATTTTACCTCCAACATCTCACTCTTCCTCTTCCTCCAACACCCCCACGCCTCCTCTCCCAACACCCCACCTCAAACCACCCTTAACACCTCTTCTTCCTTCCCACCTTCTACCCCCAACCCTCCTTCCCAAACCCTCCATCCACCCCTAACTCCAACACCTCGCTATTTTTCTTTTAAACTTGGACACGTCGCCTCGGGTGTTGAAAGCAGGCAGACCCCCGCTAAGACTTTGGAAAGCACCGCCCTATCTTTACCAAACATCTGAGACCGACTGGCAGACTCTTTCCTGATCGTCTTGGGCACTTGAGGATTTATTTATTTTATTTATCTTTACTTGTGATATTCAGTTTGGAGAGAGGAGAGAGAGAGGGAGGGAGAGGAGACAGAAGATACGCCTTTATTGTTAACCTACTATTGTACACGGATATATCCAGTTCATTATTCACTCTGGCTGGGAAGTGGGTTGGGTGGGGTGAGTGGGAGTGGGGTGGGGAGGAGGTCAATGCACCTTACAGGTCTCACACTTATCTATATAATATCAGTTGAAGATAACGTCAACACACACACACACACACACACACACACACTTTGTTTTCCATGCCAAGTCCGTTTGATTTTGTCTGTTTTGGGATGGGGAGGGGGGATAGGAGGAGAGGGAAAGGAAAGTGAGAGGGAACAGAGAGGGAGAAGAGAGGGAGAGGGAACAGACAGTCGGTTTCCACCAGGTCAGTTGACCATGGAGGAGGAAACCATACTACCGTGAAGCTGTTCCCTCGGGTCAACCTGGCAGGGTTCCTAAAACACACACACACACACACACACACACACACACACACACACACACACACACACACACACACACACACACACACACACACACACACACACACACACACACACACACACACACACACACACACACACACACACACACACACACAGATAGACATATACACGTACATACACATACACAAACGGTCACACACACACACACACACACAGACAGATAGACAGATATACACGTCCATATACACACACACACACACACACACACAGATAGCCAGATATACACGTCCATACACATACACAAACGGTCACACACACACACACACAAGGTATTACTTATCATCATCTGTCTTTGTGTTTAGTGGAAAAGATATTAAACTCAACAACTAGATATGGGGTGTTTAGCCAGTCAGAGGTTGCTAGTTATAGTGTTAGTTTAACCCGCTAATCTCCTTCCCATCGTCGCTGAGTGAACATTACGAGCGGCCAGGACACATTTGACGTTTTTTGTATTTCATCAGCAGAAGAAGAGACACAATAATCTCAGTAATAGGCACAATAACCGCAGTAATAGGCACAATAACCACAATAATAGGCACAATAACCAGTAGAACACAGTAACCGCAGGAGGACACAATAACCGTAGTAGAACAGGCACAATAACCGCAACTCACCGTGACAGAGGCGTCGAGGACCCGCTGATGACCGCTCCACCAGGTGAGGGCAGGTAAGGGCCGCGCTCCCACCACCACACACTCCACCACGTACTCCCTCTCAGACCTCAGGGCCTCCTCACTAGGGGGGATGATCTCCACGCTCAGAGGGGGCACTAAAGGGGGGGGGGAAGGTTAATCAAAAGTGCGTCATGGATGGTTAGACAGACAGACAGACACTTACGGATAGACAGACAGACAGACAGACGCACCCACCCACCCACCAAACACACTCCCCTCCTCTCCCCACCTTACCCCTCTCCCCCTCCTCCCACACCAGTTACAGTCAGGTGATGTTAACCATTGTTGTGTTTCATCAGCTGATCCACACCAGCTGACTGAGGGCTGGTCTCTCGGCTCACTGCTCCACCACCACCGTTAGTCTCCACCATCACCCGACACACACACACGCTGTTACTCTCCCTTCGTCAATATATCTCACGACCTCCTTGTTATTGCTCTCCAGGACGCTAGTGTAGGTTTGGTGAGCTGTATATATTGTGTGGGGGGTAGGGGTAGGTAGGGGTGGGAAGGGTGTGTTTGGGTGGGATTGTGTGTGTGTGTGTGTGTGTGTGTGTGTGTGTGTGTGTGTGTGTGTTGTATGAACCATTTTGCCACTTGCCACATCACCTCCAACCACCACACCAATCAGATATATCACTCACGTAATACCCAAGTTTTCACCAGATCTCAGCAATCCTTCACAACCTTCCTAAAACCAAGACATTCATTCCAACACAGATCTCTAAGATAAAACACCATTGTTAATTATGACAAAGTATTTTATGACGTGTGTGTGTGTGTGTGTGTGTGTGTGTGTGTGTGTGTGTGAATTGGCAGATGAAGAGGTTAATAAAAACACAGAATTATTTTTTCCTGTATTTGGGTAAGTTTACGTTTGTTATGGCGCCAAAAATGTGTTTGTTTATACATGTTCGTGTTTGTTGTGTGTTACTGTACTTCATCACGTTCATGTACCTCTGTAACTCTCCTACAACCTCGTGCTGTATTCTGTACCTGACTGTAACCTGTCCTCACCTTAACTGATCCGTGTGGAGTTATGTATCTACAGGAGAAGGACTCACTCACGGTGCATATCTATGGTGACGACGTCGGTGGTGGGTTGTGTGAGGTTGTTATTGGAGGCTTCACACGTCAACACCGTCAGGAGGTCACCACGGTCGAGAGGTCCTAGCGTGAGTGTGTTGTAGGGCTCTCCTCTAAAGCCTGAAGGCGTATTGGAAGGAGGGTTTTCTCTGAAGGCCCGTAGTGACTTGAGGTCCCCGTGTGTGAGGGTATTGTAAGGTCTTTTCCTGGAGATTGGGGACGCCTTCGGATATCCAAGAAATAGCATGTTGTAAAGTTCACCTCTGAAGGCAGTGAGGAGTGTCGGGGGCCCCAGATAAACCGTATTGTAAGCCTCGTCGTCAAGGGGTAGTGGTGGTGAGGGGAACTCTGGCCAGGGAGTTGTCTGTCTCTGCTCACTCAAGATCTCATTCGTGTTCTCTGGAGGGTCGGATTCCATGTCGTTGTCCAGGACCCGGGTACCTTCCAGCCACGCCACTGAGGGCTTAGGACTCCCTGTGGATGTAAACAACTGGATTTTAATATGACGTAGAGTTTATATATGGGGTTTAATGTTAAATGGTCGTTTAGTGTTTTATTGAATCTGTTGGTTGTGAAATATAATCCATGTACACAGCGGTCCATCTAATCGGAGAAAAGCGTACTTGTGTGTGTATGTGTGTGTATTTATGTGTGTGTGTGTGTGTTTATATGCGTGTGTGTGTGCTTATATGCGTGTGAGGCCATTGCCCTTTCATAAAACTACTTAGCTTGAGTTCGAACCAGTGACCTTACTATGCATGTCTGGTATTATATAACCATTCAGCCAAGGTATCCACGGCGGTAATATTTGAAGTTGACTGAATAAATGAGTTCAGTCGAGTTTATAGTATTTTAAATGTTGATGGATTTCAGTTCAAGCGAGAAGTTTAATTTCAGTAGAGAGTTGTTGTTGTTTTGCAGGTTAAGGTAAAAGTTAAGTAAACAGGTAAATACAGTGGAATATAATACAGTTAAAAGTTATAATACAAATGTAATATAAATACAGAGACGAATGAAATGATATCTTCCTCCTCCTCCTCTCCTCCTCCTCCTCCCTCTCCTCCTCTCCCTCCCTCCCTCCTCCCTCCCTCCTTCCTCCCTCTCCTCCTCCTCCTCTCTCCCCTCCTCCTCCCTTCTCTAAATGCTTATTGCTTACCTATATTAAATTACACATGAGGACACTCGATCGAATCCCGACTACGAGTGAAGTGGTGAAGTTACGTGCCCAAATTCACACAGGAAATGATTGTTGAATATTCTGATGATTACTAAATAATACTCTTCTGTGTGAGTCAAATAGGAATTTTAATAGTACACATTTTGTTGACTATTCCGTTGACTGTCGGTAATGATATATTTTACGCAACACGGAATTATTGAATGTTAATCATAATAATATTAATGTTTATGATTTTTTTTCCATAAGACTAATTCAGGTTTGTGTTAAAAATTATTTACCTGTGTTAATGCTGTGGTAATGACGTGATTAATCCTCGTTAGTGTAATAGGTGTTAATTAATGTTACCTGTGTTTGTTGGTGTTATGGGACAGTTTGTGTGTTATTAATGTTATGTGTTATACCTGTAACACCTTTAATTTAATGTTATTACTGTTATGTGTGAAGAATTATGGTTAAATAGTACAGGTATGGTTAATATAGGCCCTTGTTAATGAACCTTTGAGCAGTAATTAAATATTCTGGTTCAAGTTATTATTTTTTTGTGTGATGATAAAGTTAAAGGATATTCCCGTTATTGATATTCCCGTTATTGATATTCCCGTTATTGATATTCTCGTTATTGATATTACCGTTATTGATATTCTCGTTATTGATATTACCGTTATTGATATTCTCGTTATTGATATTACCGTTATTGATATTCCGTGATTAATATTCTCGTTATTGATATTCTCGTTATTATTCCCGTTATTCATATTCTCGTTATTGATATTCTCGTTATTGATATTCCCGTTATTTATATTCTCGTTATTGATGTTCTCGTTATTGATATTCTCGTTATTGATATTCCCGTTATTGATATTCTCGTTATTTATGTAGTTTTAATTGATACTGTATTTAGTTATTAATTCGTGTTATTGGTGTTATTTTTGCACCGAATGTAAAGAACTACTCGTGTTATTTTTACTGGTTATTGTTTGATTATTATTTTTTGTAACTGAATATTAAAGCTGTGTAATGTTTGTTTATTGTCAGATCTATGATATACCCATGTGATGTTTGTTTGTTTTTGTTTGTTGTTGTTTGTTGTTGTTTGTTGTTGTTTGTTTATTGTTTATTGTTTGTTGTTGTTGTTATTGTGATATTTTTTCTTCATATCTCTGGTTTTCTCGTTGTCTCCTCCTCCCTCCCTCCACAAACCTCCTCCCTCCTCTCCTCCCCCCACCCCCAACACCCCACCTCAACACCCTCCCAACACCCCACCTCAACACCCCACCCAACACCCCACCTCAACACCCCCAACACCACCACCTCAACATCCCCCACCCCCACCTCAACACCCCCACACCCCCCCACCTCAACACCCCCAACACCCCCACCTCAACACCCCCTCCCCAAAGCCGAGGTTATAAATGATACCTGTCAACTGATTTAGGAGTTACACACCGTTTACAGGTAGGCCAAGGTGACACACACACACACACACACACACACACACACACACACACACACACACACACAGCACCCTGAGCGATTCTGTACTGTTCCGCTCCATCTTAGAATAATACAATTACCGGTGTCTTGTTCCTTCTCTCGCGGCCATAACTCTACCTGTTTCTTGCTAATTGGAGGTGTTAATTGGCTTATTACCTGGTGTTGTCTGGCCAGGTGTGTAGGAGTAGTTAGTGTGTGTATGTGTGTGAGAGAGAGACACACAGAGAGAGAGAGAGAGAGAGAGGGAATTTGGAAGTATCCTACACACACACACACACACACACACACACACACACACACCTGACCAGTACTGTCTTCCACCAATAGAAAACTATAATACTTCGGTTTCTCCCTCTTATTACTTTAGTTTTATCGTCAAAGTTTAATGGTCGTAGTTTGTAATGCCGGGTGTAGCATAAGAAGAGAGAAGAGAGAAGAGAGAGAGAGTAAAATAGAAAGTTATAATCCTTGTACACAATCCATAAAACGAAACACACACACACACACACACACACACACACACACACACACACACACACACACACACACACACACACACACACAGTACACCCTCATACACTCATACACTTACTGTCTAAAAGTTGGGGTGTATATTCCAACACCGGCCAACGATAAAGATCAACTTATTCCCAGACCAGATTCAGATTCCTAATTTCCTCGTAGTGGGAACGTTTTAGGGTGTAAATTATCCGTAAGAAAGAAGGGGAGGTGGGGAGGAGGGTGGAGAGAAGAGGAGGAGGAGGTGGACAGGTTCAATAGTCTGTCTGTCTGTCTGTCTATCTTCACCTCTGTCATTCTCTCTCACTTTCTCCTCTCTACCTTTCCATCTCTCTCTCTCTCTCTCTCTCTCCTTCCCTCTCATCTAATTTTCTTCTCCTCCTTCACCTCATTGTCTCTCTCTGTCTCCCTTCTCAACCTATCCATCTTTGTTTATGTGTCTCCCTCCCTGTTCTTCCCTCCTTCTCATTCTCTTCCAATCTCAAGTCATTAGCTGAGAGACGTGTGTGTGTGAGAGAGTTGTTGTGGTCCTCAGGGTCATTATGTGAGAGACAGAATGAGACATAAAACTCAGCCAACTGTTTTATGACTTCTGTTCCTTGATGGCTCTCACGAACAGTCCATCAAGGAAGGGATTAATTGCTCATTTTCTGTCTCCTTAATGATATAGGTTGTCCTCTAGCAACCAGTCTCTCTTTAATAATAATGATAATACCAGTAGTAGTAGTAGTAGTAGTAGTAAGAGTAGTAGTAGTAGTAAAACAGTCTTTGTCTATAGGTTCCAGTTCAGAGGTCATCTAACAGACACTGCACTCGACAAGGTTCACATCCTCAAGGGTAAAGTCAGGTACCTCCTCTAGACCAGGAGGCGAGTGCTGTATCCAGCTGGCTGCCAACATTGCATTCTAATATCTTGCAAACATTAAAAAAAATATTCCTTGCATATAAATCGACGCCAGATTGTCTGAATTGCAAATATAATTCAGTGTGGTTCAGTGCGTTTTAATATCTCAAAGGGAGTGAAATACTTGGCTCCGCTAATACCCGTTGAAGAGTTGTGACTGGCGAATGGGATATTACCCAGCTCAGTGAATTAAACCCTTTCCATAGACAGGTAAAAATATATATATATCTCCCCAGGTAATTTTATTTTAAGGAGGAATTCTCATATGATTTAGTTCAGTTCAGTGAGTTTTAGAAGACATTATGGAATATATTCGTCTGTGTTTTCAGTTAAGGAAGAAGAGGAGTTTATTTTATATCAGGAAATAGGAAAAATATATTGGATCTTACCTGTAATTCCCACCTTGAGGAAACGTATGATTCACTTCACTTCATTGGTTCCTCATTGACGTGTTGTAAGGTGTGACACGTACTTACCTGTAATCAGTGTAAATTAAACAGGTAAATTACGGTATACTCACCTGCTGACCCAACACGTGATACATACCTACTCACCTGCTGCCCCAACACGGCACATACCTACTCACCTGCTGCCCCAACACGTGACACATACCTACTCACCTGCTACCCCAACACGTGACACATACCTACTCACCTGCTGCCCCAACACGTGATACATACCTACTCACCTGCTGACCCAACACGTGACACATACCTACTCACCTGCTGCCCCAACACGTGATACATACCTACTCACCTGCTGACCCAACATGACACATACCTACTCACCTGCTGACCCAACACGTGACACATACCTACTCACCTGCTGCCCCAACACGTGACATACCTACTCACCTGCTGCCCCAACACGTGATACATACACCTACTCCTGCTGCCCCAACACGTGATACATACCTACTCACCTGCTGACCCAACACGTGACACATACCTACTCACCTGCTGCCCCAACACGTGACACATACCTACTCACCTGCTGCAACACGTGACACATACCTACTCACCTGCTGCCCCAACACGTGACACATACCTACTCACCTGCTACCCCAACACGTGATACATACCTCCAGACGCGACACAGGTGAGCTTGAGTGTGTCACCCTCCCCGTATGGCCCCACCACTCTGCTGGCCGCGCTGTTGTTGTCCCCTACCATAATTCTCACGTCCTTTGGGGGTACTGTGGGGAGGAGGGGGGGGGTTAATAGTTAGTGGTGTGTGTGTGTGTGTGTGTGTGTGTGTGTGTGTGTGTGTGTGTGTGTGTGTGTGTGTGTGTGTGTTTCTTTGTTTGTATTAGTAATGCTCTACAGATAAAATTTGATATTCAGAGTATGTACTGAATCCATTACTTTATTCAGAAATCCGTTATTGAGAGGGTTTAATCCATTATTTCGTTGAAAAAATCCGCTATTGATGGTTTAATCTATTACTTTATCGACAAATCCGTTATTGAGAGGGTTTATTCCATTACTTCATTGAGAAATCCGTTATTGAGAGGGTTTAATCCATTACTTCGTTGAGAAATCCGCTATTGAGAGGGTTTAATCTATAACTTTATCGACAAATCCGCTATTGAGAGGGTTTACCATGTTAATACCTATAACAGTTAGGTTCACTCTGGTAGTGGTGGTGGGGTGTAGACGAAAATCAACCCGACAGGTGTAGAGACCCTGATCAGTGTGGGTGAGTGTGGAGATGGTGAGTAGAGCCGAGGACGACGACTCCACCTTCAGGATGGCTCTCGTTCCCAACTGTTCCTCGTCTGACCAGTGGCTCTCTCCCTCCCCCGATCTCTCGTCCAATCTGTGAGCAAGGAGGTCAAGTGGTGAGATTTTGGGAGGGTGGACTTTTTCATGGCTTTCTCTCTCTCTCTCTCTCTCACACATACAGTATAATGATTTATTGGTGTTCTGGTGTTAGTATAATGTTCAATCTGTCAACATTTACTTCGCAGTTGTCAAGTAAATGCTGTTGTCACCACACCTCATCATACTAACATTAAGTTACTGTCGTCAGGTTAAAAGAGAGAGAGAGAGAGAGAGAGAGAGAGAGAGAGAGAGAGAGAGATGATAAGTAGAACGAAAACTGAGGTAAACACATAGATAGATTGATAGATGAGAGAGAAACAGAGAGAGAGAGAGAGACAGAGAGAGAGAGAGACAGAGAGAGAGAGAGAGAGAGATAAGTAGAACGAAAGTGAGGAACAAGAGATAGAGAGAGAGAGAGATAGAGAGAGAGAGAGAGAGAGAGAGAGAGAGAGAGAGAGAGAGAGAGAGAAGAGAGAGAGAGAGAGAGAGAGAGAGAGAGAGAGAGAGAGAGACAAGAGAACGAAGACTGAGGAACAGACAGAAAGAGTAGAGAGAGAGAGAGAGACAAGAGAGAGATAGATAGAGAGAAGAGAGAGAGAGAGAGAAGAGAAGAAAAAAAAAAAAAGAGAGAAGAAAAGAGAGAGAGCCTATACATCACCAGGGTGTCAGTTGCGGTGGGGGGGACCCGTGTCTAACTCACTGATTTAGCTGACTCATATATCCTCCCTGAGTCATATATATCCTCCCTGAGTCACATATATATCCTTCCTGATGCCACATATATCCTCCCTGAGTCATATATATCCTCCCTGAGTCACATATATATCCTTCCTGATGCCACATATATCCTCCCTGAGTCATATATATTCTCCCTGAGTCACATATATATCGTTCCTTATGTCACATATATATCCCTGAGTCACATTTATTCTCCCTGAGTCATATATATTCTCCCTGAGTCACATATATATCGTTCCTGATGTCACATATACCCTCCCTGAGTCACATATATCCTCCCTGGGTTTAGTTATATTAGGTTAGATTGTCTTATGTTATGTTATGGTTGGGTTAGGTTAGGTTATGTTGCTTCTCTTTATAAATAACTTATGAATAAACCCTTACAAAACCTACGGTGATACTAAGTCAAGTTTGAGTAAATAACAAAACCCTAATGTCCTTTTACCTCCTCAACCCTGAAATAGACGCCAGATTATGTCCAAAGTGTCTTGAAAATATTGTATACATCTGTTCATATTTTATAAGAGACATAATGATACAGATGTCATTCACGTAAGATCACAAAAGATTAATAAAACAGACAAATAAAACAGATTAAAACACACGTATCTTCCACGAATTAAAAAAAAACCCACACAAAATTGGAATTAAAACGTATATCAGGTCAGCGAATATTAAACCTTAAATAAAAGATAGAATTAGAGAACAGGAAATTCATATGGTTTATAAAGGTAAAAGTGGTATATTTCCCAGTTATATCAAACAGGAAATTAAAACGGTGAACATGAGAGAGAGAGTTATAGGTGGTTATGTATGTATATTATGTATGTTGTATGTATATTATGTATGTTGTATGTATATTATGTATGTTGTATGTATATTATGTATGTTGTATGTATATTATGTATGCTGTATGTATATTATGTATGCTGTATGTATATTATGTATGCTGTATGTATATTATGTATGCTGTATGTATATTATGTATGCTGTATGTATATTATGTATGTACTCCATTTATATACATTACTTATTCAGCCTAGCTAGCAGCGTGTGGCTATGTATTTACCATGTCGCCACACGCTTAGATAATGTGCCTGGCGACATCTGGAAGCTGCTGATGTACCACTTGCCACATGTCGCCTGAGGGCTCAGTTGACACTCAGTCAGAGTAGGGAGAGCCGCCCTGCTTGTGTATCTCTGTTTGTCCAGCAAATAGAACCTACGAAAAACTCTACAGGTGTTCGCTCCTGTAGATAGAACTTGGTACCCAGAACATGTACAGGTTATAGATGTGAATTGGTTGTTACAGGTTGGAATAGGTTGTAATGCGTAGTCACGGGAATCCAAAGGTAGCCTCAGGTAGTCACAGGTAGGCACAGGTAGTCAAAGATCGCCACAGGTAGTCACAGGTAGCCTCAGGTAGTCACAGGTAGCCTGTTGTCAGCAGGTAGTACAGGTAGTCAAACATTGCCACAGGTAGTCACAGGTAGCCTCAGGTAGCCTCAGGTAGTCACAGGTAATCACATAGTCCAGGTAGCCTCAGGTAGTCACAGGTAGTCACAGGTAGTCAAAGATTGCTACAGGTAGTCACAGGCAGCCTCAGGTAGCACAGTAGTCACAGGTAGCCCAGGTAGTCTGACAGGTAGTCACAGGTAGTCAAAGATCCACAGGTAGTCACAGGTAGCCTCAGGTAGTCACAGGTAGCCTCAGGTAGTCACAGGTAGTCACAGACAAAGATTGCCACAGGTAGTCACAGGTACAGGTAGCCCAGGTAGTCACAGGTAATCACAGGTAGCCTGTAGTCACAGGTCACAGGTAGTCACAGGTGAGCCTCAGGTTGTCACAGGTAGCCTCAGGTAGTCACAGGTAGTCACAGGTAGCCTCAGGTAGTCACAGGTAGTCAGATTATAGATGATATCGAGGGCCAAAAGTGTTTGTTATGTATTGCGCTCGGGGTCAGGTAACACAAGGACTGCCCAGTGTGTGTGTGTGTGTGTGTGTGTGTGTGTGTGTGTGTTGGGAAGGCGGCGTTTATTGGCTATAGTTGTGTTAGGTTACCTGATATTGTCTCTATGTCTGTCTGTCTGTCTGTCTGTTTTGTTTAGGTTTTGTCTCTTTGTCTCTGTTAGTCCTGTCTTTCGTCTCTCTCTCTCCCTCTCTCTTTATCTCCGTCACCCCTCCGTCACCCCACTCCTCTACCTAAGCCCCACACACTACCCTCCCGTCACGTAGGGTGGTTGACAGGGCTCCATGTAACTCTAGTAATACATCACAAGTTAAAGCAATATTTGATGGCGGGCGGCACCTTGTTTAATAAAAAATAACTCGTTGGCGGGAGGTTGTTGTGGACTCAAGGGTTATGTTTCATGGGTGGTGTACCGTGTGTTGTGTTGCGGGTGTGTGTTGTACCGTGTGTTGTGTTGGTGGGTGTGTTGTACCGTGTTGTGTTGCGGGTGTGTGTTGTACCGTGTGTTGTGTTGCGGGTGTGGGTTGTACCGTGTGTTGTGTTGCGGTGTGTGTGTTGTACCGTGTGTTGGGGTGGTTAATGTTGTTGGGGTGTGTGCACCGTGTGTTGTGTTGGGGGTGTGTGTACCGTGTGTTGTGTTGCGGGTGTGTGTGTTGTACCGTGTAGTTGCGGGTGTGTGTGTTGTACCGTGTGTTGTGTTGGGGGTGTGTGTGTTGTACCGTGTGTTGTGTTGGGGTGTGTGTTGTACCGTGTGTTGGGGTGTGTGTGGTTGCGGGTGTGTGTTACCGTGTTGTGTTGGGTGTGTGTGTTGTACCGTGTGTTGTGTTGCGGGTGTGTGTGTGTTTGACCGTGTGTTGTGTTGGGGGTGTGTTACCGTGTGTTGTGTTGCGGGTGTGTGTTGTACCGTGTGGGTTGTGTGTGGTGTACCGTGTGTTGTGTTGGGGTGTGTTGTACCGTGTGTTGCGGGTGTGTGTGTTGTACCGTGTGGTGTTGCGGTGTGTGTGTTGTACCGTGTGTTGTGTTGGGGGTGGTGTTGTACCGTGTGGTTGTTGGGTGTGTGGTTGTACCGTGTTTGTGTTGCGGGTGTGTGTTGTACCGTGTGTTGTGTTGCGGGTGTGTGTGTTGTACCGTGTGTTGTGTTGGGGTGTGGTGTACCGTGTGTTGTGTTGGGGGTGTGTGTGTTGTACCGTGTGTTGTGTTGCGGGGTGTGTGTGTTGTACCGTGTGTTGTGTTGCGGGTGTGTGTTGTACCGTGTGTTGTGTTGGGGGTGTGTGTTGTACCGTGTGTTGTGTTGGGGGTGTGTTGTACCGTGTGTTGTGTTAGGGTGTGTGTTGTACCGTGTGTTGTGTTGGGGGTGTGTTGTACCGTGTTGTGTTGCGGGTGTGTGTTGTACCGTGTGGTTAGTGTGTGTTGTACCGTGTGTTGTGTTGGGGGGTGTGTTGTACCGTGTGTTGTGTTGGGGGTGTTACCGTGTGTTGGGGTGCGGTTGTGGTTGGGGTGTGTTGTACCGTGTGTTGTGTTGGGGGTGTGTTGTACCGTGTTGTGTTGGGGTTGTTGTACCGTGTTGTGTTGGGGGTGTGTGTTGTCGTGTGTTGTGTTGGGGGTGTGTTGTACCGTGTGTTGTGTTGCGGGTGTGTGTGTTGTACCGTGTGTTGTGTTGGGGGTGTGTGTTGTACCGTGTGTTGTGTTAGTGTGTTGTACCGTGTGGGGGTGTGTGTGTTTGTACCGTGTGTGTGGGGGTGTTGACCGTGTTGTGTTGGGGGTGTGTGTTGTACCGTGTGTTGTGTTGGGGTGTGTGTTGTACCGTGTGTTGTGTTGCGGGTGTGGGTTGTACCGTGTGTTTGTTGTGGTGTGTGTTGTACCGTGTGTTGTGTTAGTGTGTGTTGTACCGTGTGTTGTGTTATGGTGTGTGTGTTGTACCGTGTGTTGTGTCAGGGTGTGTGTGTTGTACCGTGTGTTGTGTTGGTGTGTGTGTTGTACCGTGTGTTGTGTTGGGGGGTGTGTTGTACCGTGTGTTGTGTTGGGGGTGTGTGTTGTACCGTGTGTTGTGTTGGGGGGTGTGTGTTGTACCGTGTGTTGTGTTGGGGTGGGTGTGTTGTACCGTGTGTTGTGTTGGGGGTGTGTGTTGTACCGTACTGGTTGGGGGTGACCGTGTGTTGTGTTGGGGTGTGTGTTGTACCTTGTGTTGTTTGGGGTGGGTGTGTGTTGTAAATCGTGTGTTGTGTTGGGGGTGTGTGTGTACCGTCAGGTTGGGGGGGTGTGTGTTGTACCGTGGTGTTGGGGTGTGT